GTTAGCTGGGGCGGAGGAGAAAGAATAAAGGTGAACCGCGCGCCCCCAGCCTTTCGAGTGGGGAAGGGGCGGCGCGGGCGCTCACGCGCGCCAAGGACTTAGGGTCTCTGGTTCTCTAACAGCGCTGGAGGCTGCCGGCCGCGGTCGCTCCACAATGAGCGTGTGAAGCTGTGGAGGAGGAGCCGAGGCGGCCGACAGGAAGGAAGAGCCGGCAGCCCCGCCCACGCCGCTGGCGTAGCGTGGAGATGCCTCCGCAGGCTGTGAGCTGTCACGACGTAGCGTGTAGTTCTTCCGCCATTTGTGGTCCCGTGGGCGGGTCAAAGTGCAAAAAAAAAAAAAATCCAGGGACCAGACAAGCTGCTGTTCTTTGGTGGTTGGTAGGTTTCATGCGGAGCTACTTCCGGCCTTATCTGCTTAAAAAAAAAGGGCTTTAAATTTATCAGCTTGAGCACGCCGATCTTTGCAGATAAATCTATGCCTAATGCTAAGTAAATGTAAACTTAAGTGATTTTAAACCTAAATGGTTTGTTTCTCCAGGCCCTGGAGTGAACCCTTAAACCAGTGGTTCTCAACCTTCTGGCCCTTTAAATACAGTTCCTCATGTCGTGACCCAACCATAAAATTATTTTTGTTGCTACTTCATAACTGCAATGTTGCTACTGTTATGAATCGTCATGTAAATATCTGATATGCAGGATGGTCTTAGACGACCCCTGTGAAAGGGTCGTTTGACGGCCAAAGGGGTCGCGACCCACAGGTTGAGAACCGCTGCAAACTGTAATAATAGACTGCTCTGAAGGCCCAAGTTTCCGGGGTCTCGTTCAAAATGCTGCATGCACCTCACTCTGCAGTGAAGACAGCCTTCATTCGTTTAAAATTAGGCATTGCCACGTTAGACTAGATGCTCTGTATGCAACTGTAATTAAACCCACTTTCTGCCCTCAGAGTTCAAACTAGTGGTAGATTCAGACAATTCAATGAGATTGGATGAAGCGCAGGGCACTCTGAAAGCAGATAGGAGTAACGCCTAATCAAGTGTTGGGTAATGGATCTCTAGGCAGGGGGAATAGGATGGGTGGAGCTAAGAAAACACAAAGAGGGAGGGAGTTTAAAAAAAAACACAAAAACTGGAGAGGTAAGCAACCTGGGACCAGATTTTTAAGAGACAGCCATTAACCTTAAAGCAGCCTTTTACATAAAATGAAGAGATCAGATTTGTATTTTTAAAGGGTTACTCATGGCAATGGATCAATGTTTCTCCTCTCTCTTCCTCTAAAAATTAATAAGAATAAGCCCTGACTGGTGGCTCAGTGGTTAGAGCGTCTGCCTGAGCACCGGAGAGTTCACAGGTTCAATTCTGGTCAAGGGCAGGTACCTGGGTTGCAGTTTCAGTCTGGGGTTGGAGGGGTGGAGTGTGGGAAGGCAACCAATCCATGTGCCTCACATCAGTGTTTGTTTCTGTTTCTCTTCCTCTGTCCTTCCCTCCCTCCCAACCTCCCACTCTCTAAAAAAAAAAAAAAACCAATGGAAAAAATATCCTCAGGTGAGGATTAATAAAATCAATAAAAGTAAAGTAAAATCAAGGATTACTCATTGCTATGTGGAGAATGGGAGATGGGTCTGTGGTCTTAGTCCCAGGGAAACTTTTAGTATCTCAGTCTTTCACTCCAGGCATTAGCATGGGAACGCTTCCCCAACCCTCTCCTCCAAACACCCACACACCTAGATAAAAATCTGCCTTCCTCTTTGGGGAGTATTCCTTCCCTCCTGCCTCACTCCTAGCTTCAAGTGTGTTAGTCTCTCTTCCTGTGTGTTTGCCCAGCAATTTGCCCCACTTTAAGAGTTCCTTGAATTCTGTCTTCTTACTCGTACTGCTCCTTCTACAGGACCTGGCAATGCAATGAGTCCCAGTGGTATTTTAAGGACCATGTCTCCTGGATGCCTGACTAACAGACCAGCTTTTTCCTGGGATTAACTGGATCACCTGGTGCCATGCCACCTCTCCAGCCTCCTTATGGGCACCTCTGTCTCCCCCTTCTACATCCTGCTTCCACACTCAAATTTTAAGTTTTAGCCCCATTAAACTCCCATTTCCAACATGCCTTGCCCTCCCTCAACCCTGCCTCTACACGTGCTGTTTCTTCGCCTACTTTCTCATTCTTTAAGCTTAGGTGTCAGTCCTTTGGGACATCCTGCCACTGGCTCCCTTCTCCAGGCTCTCTGAACACTGATGGATTTTATGTGCTCTCCTTTCTATCGGAGGCTAACGTCATTAAAGGACTGACTGTCTTTTACTCATTTCCCTCTCTCTGTCTAGCTCAGTGGCTGGTATACAGCTGGTAAGTGAATGAAATGTTTTACTGTATGTGATTTAGAAATTATACCACTGATTTGGTATGGAGTAATTTCCATGATATATTGCTAAGTGAAGAAGGCAAAATTCAAGAGTATAAACTATGCTGCCTTTTATGCAAGGAAGAAGGGGAAATAAGAAAACAAATGCGTAATGAACAACATAAACTGATGAACAAAAATAGAGCCAGAGTCAGAAGCATTGAACAGACTGTCCAACCTATGAGGGAAGGCAGGGGAAGGGTGGGGGGCGTTAAGAGATCAACCAGAGGACTTGCATGCATACATATGAGCGTAACCAATGGACACAAAAAAAAGGGAGACTTATCTAATACTTTAAACAATAAAGAACTTTTTAAAAAGAGAGAAAAATGTGTGGCCTGGCTGGAGTAGCTCAGTTGCGTGAGTATTGTCCTGTGCACCAAAAGGTGGTCAGTTCACTTCCCAGTCAGGGCACATACCTGGGTTTCGGGTTCAATCCCTGGTCAGGGCACACATGGAAGGCAACCAATCGATGTTTCCCTCTCCCATCTAAGGATGTCCTCAGGTGAGGATTAAAAAAGAAAGAAATGTGTCTGCAAATTTTTGCAGAGAAAAACTCAGGAAGGATAACCCCCAAACTAATAAAATTGGTTACCTATGAGGGGCAGGGAAAGTGAAGGGTCATTTGGTTGTTGGGTTGCATTCTTTGAAAATGTTCTTATTGCCAGAACCGGTGTGGCTCAGTGGACAGAGCGTCGGCCTGCGGACTGAAAGGTCCCAGGTTCGATTCCGGTCAAGGGCATGTACCTGGGTTGCGGGCACATCCCCAGGAGGAGATGTGCAGGAGGCAGCTGATCGATGTCTCTCTCTCGCATCGATGTTTCTAACTCTCTATCTCTCTCCCTTCCTCTCTGTAAAAAAATCAATAAAATATATTAAAAAAAAATAAAAATGTTCTTATTGATATTGAGAGGAAGGGAGAGGGACAGAGAGAAATGTCAATGAGAGAAACATTGACTGGCTGCCTCCTGCACACCGCCTACTGAGGACTGGGCCCCAAAAGCAGGCTGTTCCCTGATCAGGAATCAAATCAGTGACCTCTTGGTGCATGGGACAATGGTCAACCACTGAGCTAGGTTGGTTGGGTGGGTTACATTCTTGAAGGAAGCTACAGAGCTCTGACTGGGAAGGGTGAACTTCCTTGAGTATGTTTTGACTTTTTAAATCATGTTAATGGTCAATGTATTAAACAAAAGAAGGGCGGGAGATCCCTAGCTGGGTTGGCTCAGTAAATAGAGCATTGGCCTGTGGACTGAAAGGTTCCAGGTTCAATTCCGCTCAAGGGGGGCATGCAGGAGGCAGACAATTAGTGATTCTCATCATTTATGTTCCTTTTTCTCCCTCTTCTGAAATTAATAAAAATAAAAGATAATTTTTAAAAAGATGGAGGACATCTAAAATCTGAATATAGACATAAATAAACGAACCCAACTCTATTTTAGATGGATAAAAATAACATGGAAGGGGGAAAATAGGACTAATTCAACTAACTTTCAAAAAAAAAAAAGGGCAAATCTTGAATTAGTAGGTTTGCTGTGGTGGCAAGGGCATGGCCATTCTAAAACTATTGGGTGTATTGTGGATTGAGCACATGAGTAAAATATAGATGGTAGGAGGCAGGGTTCTCACGAGGGAAGTAGGGAGAAGCAGATATAGGATGAATGAAGTGAACAAAAACTTTGTGGGGATTAGGATGGGAAGCATAGAATTTATGGAAAAAATAAGATAGGTACACTTACACATGCCTAGTTCCCAGATCTTGCTTTCTACATGTTCCATACAAAGGACCAACACTCCTTGAAGAAATGGCTGGTTGCAGCCTGGGCAGGAGCAAGGAAGATAGCAGATAAGCTTGGGGTATTTTGTTGAGCTAGGAAAGAAGTACTAAAAAAAAAAATTATAAGGGCCACAAAGAGACACAAGAGCCAGCTTTAAGAAGCCAAATCTGGCACAATTTGAGCATCAAAAAAGTTCAGTAATAGCCGAAACCGGTTTGGCTCAGTGGATAGAGCATCGGCCTGCGGACTGAAGGGTCCCAGGTTCGATTCCGGTCAAGGGCATATACCTGGGTTGCGGGCACATCCCCAGTGGGAGATGTGCAGGAGGCAGCTGATCGATGTTTCTCTCTCATCGATGTTTCTAACTATCTCTCTCCCTTCCTCTCTGTGAAAAATCAATAAAATATATATTTTTTTAAAAAAAGTTCAGTAATAGATGATAACTCACTGAATAAAAGAACCCATGCATTCATACTGTTAATAGATATACACATACATGCATATACACCTAAGAAGAAGAAACATACAGGAGAAATAATTAGGCTATTCTTCAAAAATGTCCATGGCATGGGAGAGAAAGGTTGAGGTAATATCCCAGATTAAAGGAGGCTAAAGTGGCTAATAACTAAATGAAATACTTGATCCTGGCCTAAATTCAGGGGGAAATTGCTATAAAAGACACTGATGAATTTGGAGTATAGGCTATAAAGTATTACATGCTTTATACTATACCTGAGTGTGATGACTGTAAATATGTAAGCATTTATGCATAGTAAATATACACTGAAGTATTATGTGCCAAAGAATATGATACATGCAGCCTACTATTAAATAGTTCAAGTTTATAGATTATATGTAGGATGTACCCAAAATGTATACAAACACTTTGAATAATTATAAAGGCAGTGTTTATTAAAATACATTTCATTTTCAAAATTGAGCTAATCAAATGTATACATTTTTTTGGGATACCATATATAGTCAGCAGAGCTCAAAGTTGCCAAGATGGTAAGCATAAATTCTACAAGTGGGTTATCCTATATAATAAAAGGCTAATATGCAAATTGATCGAATGGTGGAACAACTCGTTGCTATGACATGCACTGACAACCAGGGGGCAGACGCTCAATGCAGGAGCTGCACCCTGGTAGTCAGTGTACTCCCACAGGGGGAATGCTGCTCAGTCAGAAGCCCTGAGCCAGGGGCTCATGGCTGGCAAGTGCAGTGGCGGTGACCAGAGCCTCTCCCGCCTCCACGGCAGCGCTAAGGATGTCCGACTGCTGTCCGACTCCATGGGCCTAAGCCATCAGTCAGACATCCCCCAAAGGCTCCCAGATTGTGAGAGGGTGCAGGCTGGGCTGAGGGACGGCCCCGCCTCCCCCCCCCCACAAGTGCATGAATTTCATGCACTGGGCCTCTAGTTGTTTAATAACATGCTATTTAGCCTCCATATGTTTGAATGTTTTTGAGTGTTTTTACTGTAGTTGATTTCAAATTTCATTACACTGTGATCTGAGAAGATGCTTGATATGATTTCAATCTTCTTGAACTTGTAGAGACTTGTTTTGTGTCCTAACATTTGGTTTAACTTTGAGAATGACGGTTGTGCACTTGAGAAAAATGTATATTATGCAGCTTTTGTGTCAAATGTTCTATAACTGTCAATTAAATCCATCTGATTCAGTGTGTCATTTAGAGTTACTGTTTCCTTGTTAATTAAAAATTTTTTTTTATTGATTTCAGAGGAAGGGAGAGGGAGAGCTAGAAACATCAATGTTGAGAAAGAATCATGGATAGGCTGCCTCCTGCACGCCCCCTACTGGGGATCAAGCCTGCAACCCATGCATGTGGTACCAGGAATCGAACCATGACCTTCAAGTTCATAGGTTGACGCTTAACCACTGAGCCATGCTGGCTGGGCTGTTAATTAATTTTTTTGTCTGTAAGATCTATCCAGTGAAATCCGTGGGATATTAAAGTCCCCTATTATGACTGTATTGTTATTGATCTCTCCCTTAAAGTCCTCTAGAAGTTTTAAAAATATATTTAGGTGTTCCTATATGGGATGCATGTATGTTTACCAGGGTTATATCTTCTGGTTGGATCAATCCCTTTAGTGTTATGTAATGACCTTTGCTGTCTCTTGTAATGGCCTTCATTTTGAAGTCTATTTTGTCAGATATGAGTATTATTACCCTAGCCTTTTTCTTTTTAAAAAATATATATTTTTATTGATTTCAGAGAGGCAGGGAGAAGGAGAGAGAAATATAAACATCAATGATGAGAGAGAATCATTGACTGGCTGCCTCCTGCATGCCCCTACTGGGGATTGAGCCTGCAACCCAGGTATGTGCCCTTGACTGGAATCAAACCTGGAACCCTTCAGTCCACAGGCTGGCGCTCTATCCACTGAGCCACACCAACTAGGGCTACCTTAGCCTTTTTTGTTTCCATTTGCATGGAAAAATTTTTCCATTCCTTCACTCTCATCCTGTGTAAGTCTTTTGTTCTTAGTTGGGTCTCTTATAGACAGTATATAATTGGGTCATGTTGTTGTATCCATTCAGCTATCCTATGTCTTTTGATTGGAGCATTTAATCTGCTTACATTTAAGGTTATTTTTTTTAAGAGAAATTGACATGTATTTTCTTTTTAAAAAAATATATTTCTTTATTGATTTCAGAGAGGAAGGGAGGAGAAGAGAGAGATGGAAACATCAATGATGAGAGAGAATCATTGCTTGGCTGCCTCCTGCAC